ATTGATGATTTTTAATTTCATATGATTTCACAGTTTTACAGCTCTGGACTCCCTTATTTTCATTTTGACGCATTTCAATGTCGATTCTTTTACTTTTAGTTGACTTTGATTTGGTTTTCGCTCAATTTAATTTTTAGAATTTTTTCAAAACAAAAGAAAAAACGTTTGAAATTAAGTCGAAGTTTTATTTAAAAGTAAGTGTTTTTACCGGCTTTTGCTAATTAAATAAGTTCTCTTCAAGATGGTTTGTTTAAAAAAAAATACGTGTACATATATGGTATATGGGGTATGGAAATCTCCCTCTTTCCTGGCAGTAAACGTCTTAGTGTGGGCAACACTGATATTTTTCAAATAAGGCAGATCGGAATATGCGCTCTCTTGGAAGACAATACCTGTAATTATTGTACAATGGCGTAGGCACATAAATGACAAAACGATAAAAACAAAGTAAGAGATACAGTTGCGGTCAGAACAATAGCAGCAACATTCAAAATGATGCTGTTGGCCTCTAATCTTTTTTTTGTGGGGTTTTGGGTAGGTTTTGGTTGGAAATTAAATTCCTCTATCGCCAGGGTGTTCCTCTCGTTCTGTATTTATGTCCTCTTGCTGCTACTCGATAATGTAGCATGTGTGTGTTGGTATCGATAAGTTCTGCTCGTTGAACGCGAAAAATTGTCATTCTATATGTCTTCTTAGCTTGAATGTGGAAGGCGAAGAATGTTTGCTTGTTAAGCTTATTTCGAGCGGTTTTAATGGCAAATGTACAAATATAATGGGGAGATGATATGGGAAAGGGAAATGAGTTCGGTGGACGGTACTGAACCACCGATAAAGTTTAAACTTTGATTTCAGCTTTTTGGAAAAATTTGGCAAGTTGAGTGATTTTGTTGTGATTGTTGTGATTTTGTGAAGGATGTCATAGAAGTTGGCATCATCTTGGAAGATTTCGAGGCCCTCCCGAGCGCTGTTTAAATAGGAGCAGTGAAAAGTTTGATATATATAACTGTCTTGTAATCCACATCTACATATATTTGAATTCCTGGCGTTGATTTGGTAAAGTTATTCGCTGTCGTAAGTGCAACCGGTAAGAATACGATTTATTATTTTAGTCTCTTTGACACCTAAGTAGAAGTTATGGAACCATGTTTTCTTAGATTTACAGGGAAATATCTGCAGAAAAGATTTGGTTTGGTTTGGATTGATCTGAGATCAATTTCATTTTTGATGTGTCTTAGGGCCTCCTTGTTGGTGAGGTTAACATGTATTTCGTCATCTAATTTGAGTGCTTCTTTGGCTAGCTCATCAGCTATCTCATTGCCAGGAGTCCCCTTATGACTTGGTGTCCATATTATGGTCACCCTGTCAAAATCTGATTCAAGTATAATTTTATGAATATCACAGTTTTGGGTTCTTTTTTTGCTTAGTAATTGACAAGCTACAAGACTGTCAGTGAAGATGACTATTTTGCTAAGATTGTGTAGTTTAGCCTGCTGTATAGCTTTTAAGATAGCTAAAGTTTCTCCAAAACTGGAGGAAGATTTGAAGTTCAGCTTGAAGGAGTGTTTGATTTTGTCAGAATAGTTGTAGATTGCTACTCCAGTGGCTACACTGCCGACTGAGGCGTCTGTATAGAAAATTTTGTAACCAGCCAAATCGTAATCATGAACCATTTGTCTATAAATGGACTTGATAGTTTCACTAGGTACATCCGATTTTTTACTATCGAGAATTTTAGTAATTATACTAAACCTAGAGTTACGAGGAACAGGTTGCTCAGTTGTCCTGAGGTTGTCAAAGATGTGTCTAAATTTATTAAAAATTACGCTATAACTGGATTTTACACTGGGACCATTTAATAGTTGCTCTTTGAAAACTTCGTCAAATGTGATGTTTATAATAAGCTCCTTTGCAGTGAGCCACTGGACTCTTTCGACCGGTGGGAGTTCATTTGCTACAGCATAGATAAGGCGGACTGGCGTGGATGGGTTTAAGCCAAGACTTTTTCTCAAGAAGCTATTCTGGTATGTTTGGATCTTTTTGTTTGTTGTTTTAGCACAATTGGCCATGGACGATCTACTGTATTCTATCTTGCTTCTTACTATGGAGCGGTAATAGTTAAGGGCAACCTTTGGATGGAGACCTGCTCTTACAGTGGTTATGCATTTAAACAAATTTAAGTTTTTTGCGACTTTTTAGTACATCATTATAGTGCTCACTAACAGCTAGTGACGCACTGATATGTCTGCCCACGAATTTAAGAGGTTGACCTGATGGAGTCGTTGATTTTGAAACAGTATGTTGATGGTTTTTTTGTTGCCTTTAGAGAAGTACATGACTTTAGTCTTGTCTGGGTTGAAAGATAGATTTAGATTATTACATAAATTTGAGAAGATGTTTATTTTTTTTTCCAGAAGATTGTGAACCGCCATATCAAGATTTTGATGAGAAGACATCAATACAAAGTCATCCGTAAATTGGTACACCTTGTGATGGTGTCTTCAATGCAGTGGAGCTGTTTTGGATAAATGTTGAGCAGTAGGGGTGAGAGATAATTACGTTGAGGGAGGCCATCATTTGTATCAATGGTGTCCGCCCCCTGAACCAATTTTCTCCAAGCCAAGAAGTTGGAAACAAATTCAATGTAAGTTGGATGTAAACCAATACTAAACATGACAGTTTTGAGTTGTTCCAGACTGACACATTACTGATGTCAGTTGATAAGATAATAGTTTTGATGCCTTGACTTTTAAGAATGGCGAGATCATGTAGCATATAGTTAATACAGACGGTGGCGGATTTTTTCTTTCTATAAGCGAAAGAGCGCGATGGTAGCAGTTTGGAAACTTCTACAAAATTGGAGATCCTGCCCTTTATTACCAAGTTAATACATCTCAGAAAAACTGCCAGAAGAGCTAGTGGTCTAAAGTTTCTATGGTCATTTAGGTTCTTGTCCCTTTTAGGAATGGGCACCACACTATTAGTACGCCACCTTTCCGGGATCTGATTTGTCAAAAACACATAATTTAACATTGTGCGAATATTGTTTAGTGATTGGTCCGGTAGGGCTTTTAGCATGCTGTATGTGATTCAATCAGTACCTCCCGCTGAGTTTCTTTTACTACGTCCTGCAGTTCCTCAAACGATATGGCTAATGTATTAGCAGGCATTATCTCCTGATTGATTGGCAGGTTATGATAGGAAAGTGGAACTTGACTTTTCAAATATTGAAGGTAGTTTAGATTGTTAACGTCTGACCAGGCTCCTCTGTTACTAGTTTTAAAATCACCTCTCATCGCTTTGACGAACCGCCATGCTTTTTTTGTGGTTGGGTCATCATTAAGTTGATCAATCCTCTTTTGAAAGTGTTTCTTTTTTGCTTCTTTAACCTGATCCTCCAGTCTTTTTTGGTGTCAAGCAAATTTTGAAAGTTTTGTGGGGAGGTTCTGTTTTGCACTTTTTATAGGCAATTTCTAGGAATCTGAACGACTTCATTAACGAGTCATTCTACCAACCTTTTGGACACCTGTTTCCTTACGCAGAATAGGTGGCAGCATTTAGCTTTTCTTGGAATTTGTGATGAATATCATCAACGTTAGGAGATAAGTTAAGATGTTCTAACTCTTTCATGAGTTTGAGTTTAGCTAGAAACCTTGGCGAGCAGTTTTCAATTGTATTATTTCAATAGTTATTGGAAATTGATGACTACCTCCTAGTCTAATAGAGTCAGTTTTCCATCGAAAGGGAAGGCTGCTGTTGGAGAATGAGAGATCTAAAACAGACCTGGTTACAGGGCGGCTGCCTTCAACTTTTAACGCCACTATGGAGAGGGGCTTTGCTCGAACTCAGACTTTTTTTCTTGGACTACCCTCTCTATTGTCAACATTTCGGAATTATTAAGGTGGTAAAGGAAAAGTCGGCCGCTGTGGCGTAGTGGTAAGCAGTGCGCGCTTCCACTCCGCAACGCCTGGGTTCAAAGCCTAGTCAAAGCATCATCGCAAAAAAATATATAGAAAAGGTTTTTTCTTAACAGCCGTCGTCCCTCGGCAGGCAATGGCAAACCTCCGATTGTATTTCTGCTATGAAAAACAGCTTCTCATAAAAATACAATGGCCGTTCGGAGTCGGCGTAAAACTGTAGGTCCCTCCGCTTTGTGCGACAACATCAAGGCGCACGCCACAAATCGGAGGAGAAGCTCGGCCAAATTCTAACATATGTGTAAGCGCCAATCTATTATTATTATAAACGAAAAGTTCAGTGAAATATCACTTTGCAAGTTTCTTTGATACGCGAATCACCCTTGTGGGAGAAGGTGTTTAGTAGCGCATAACTTATCGAAAGCTTTCGACTAGAGCAGTTACACTACGCTTTCAGACGAAAGCTGTCCACATGTTTTGAGATTGAAGTAACTCCAAGCACTAAAGACAGCGTTTTAAACAGATTTCAACGCCAATAAATTATCTGAGGGATCACCGTATAAGGTCAATTTTCAGTTTTTTGTCTGTAATAGCTCTTCATTACTTTCTAGCAGCTTAACAGCTTTCATCTCAAACCAAATAAAGCATTTTTTTCTTCATTACCTAAAAAGGCGAACAATGCAAAAAGTAACATGGTATATTCCAACTTATTACAAACATATTTGTTATATGGCATGCGATACTATTCCAGCTTCATTTGAATTCTTCTCCAACCTTGTGTAGATCATCATCATCCTCAATGTCTCATCCTATGCCCCAATAGCCGATGACGTTTGGCCATCAAACGAGCTGTAGCTAGCGATCGAGAACAACGTCCTGCAGGATTTGCGTTTTGCTTCGCCTCATGCGCTGCAGCCGCCGCTTTCATAGCGGCATCTTTCGTCTTCGAGTAATCGCCGCGCGCCACGCTCAACTGACCTAGCAACTGTTCGACACGAGTTTTTGCAGCCTCAAACAATTGCGTCTTTTCAGCTTGATCCTGCTGTGCACCCAAAGCCGCCTGCTCTGCGTTGCCGACATTCACCTGTGCCATATTCACCGCCTTTGTGAGTGTCTTCAATTGAGATTGCGCATTCTGTGCAGCTTGCATGGCGGCATTCACATTCTGTTGGGCATTCTGCAGTGAGCTACTCTGTTCTTGCACCACAGCCTCAGCTTCGCGCACTTCCTGCTGCAGTTGTTGTACGATTTGTTGTTTGCCGGCGAGTGCAGCTTCGGCTGCCTTGGCTGCGGAAATGGCCTTCTCAGCCAACTGTGCCTTCACTTGTTGCGAGGCTGCTTCGCCGGCTGCCTGTTGGGCGTCAGAAGCTGCTTTGGCTTCCTTTGCTGCTTTCTGTGCTATGTTGGTGGCCTTTTGCTTGGCGCTTCCGGCGCTCATACCATTCTGACAGTTGTCGTTGCCACCATTACCACTGCTGCTACTGCCACCGCTACCACCGCCACCACTATCGCCCGAGAAGTCTGAGTAGAGGCTTTGAATCATGCGTTTGGCATTCTTTCGGTGCGGCTACACGATGTTAGAGAATTTGTGCGTCATATGTACATAAGGAGACAAGAAATTATTGTATAAGATGGTACCCACCTGGCGAATGTAGGCGCGCGTTGACAATAACCGCAGTGCTAGGAATATCAACAGGAAGTACTGTATTTTCAATTGCATTTATTTATCTGTTGCATAAATGTGTAGATAACAAAATATATGTAAACAATTCTGAGTTGTCTTGCAATTTCGCAGGAGAAATAAACTGATGTCAAAAGCTTTTCTGGAAATAGAGAAATAATTTTGTATTACTCCTATAGCCACACAGTGTTTAGCTGATAATGCTAGTGACGATTGCATGGATTTGGATGCACTTGGAGTCATCTGGATAGTTAAGATTATTGTTGTGAGCGTCAAAGTTTCACTGTGTTACCCCGAAAACGATTTTCCAAGTCTCTTGTTACACGTCCTTAACATTTCCCCATCTTGCAACGAGTATAGACAGAATTACTACAATATGGTGCCCATGGTGGTGATCCGAGTCGATGGTGACTCTTCACATGGAACTATGTAATATCAAATATACTAGAAGTGTATCTTCCTTCTACCGCAACTTGATCGATTTAGTTATTTTTTCTTTGATTGAGGGCCAGCCTAGTGGTCATCTCTGTCGTCGGAGATGTTGCCATGAAGGCTGAATTGTATGACTTTTGAACCAAATTTACATTCTGTGCCCACCATGGCGTGAGAGTCGCTCGACATAATTCTACTATCGTGGCGAGGGCAGCGCTCGTAGAATAGCCCTTTTGACTACACATCTAACTTATTAAAAGGAAGTTTATCCCAGAAGTATGAAACGCAATCTCGAAGTGCAAGGCGTTCATGGCGAATCTCAATAGATTCCATAAAAGTGTTAGTCAGTTCGATAATGGAAAAAATAGTACGGTATAATCTGCAGGTTTCAGATTCGCCTACCAGCTGTTAGTAGCGCTGCCATTTTATTTCTCAGACTGTGAATACATCGCGTGGCATCAAGTCATAAATACTCTCTGACGTACTCGTCCACTTTCCCAGCGATCTTCGGTTTTCTTTAATCAAAGGGCGTCCAAAAACGAGGTATTTATGAACAACAATAATAGGCTTAAAATCATAAAAGTCCATGTAGCCAATGAAACACTGTCTAAGTTTTTCAAAACCGGTGGCAGATAGCTCTTAGCGCGCTTTTACCAGCTCTTAAGTTTGCTCCGATGAATAAATATGAAAATATTGGAATCTCAGTTCTCGCCATTTACCAAAAGAAGAGAAGGCTCATCATCGCTTGTAGGGACCAATTGACGTTACCATTTGAAAGCTGAACGCTATCATAAATAAACGCACCTACCCATATCAATCAGGCTTCACACCCGGTGAGCAGATCTTCGAATCCTGCAAAAGGTCGTTGATTTCAAAACCGATTTTGATATAACGACGCAAAGCTGCCTCTGTGTTACCTTACCTGAATAAGTGATACCTGAAAAAAGTCTAAATTGGGAAGGACTTCTGCAGGCCTACCGAGATCAACTGAGGTGAGATGAGAAGGTTTTAGGGTGCTTTCGAGACATCAATTATAAGAAAGATCTACAAAGAATCTGCTAGACTTTGTATGAACAACTACCGTCACTACGCAGTAGAGAGAGTCCATCAGCAAAGTTTTTACTTGGAGTCGGCGATAACCGAAAGCACCAAAGGAGATCACAGAGTAGGACACTCAATAAATCAAAAAACGGCAGAACTCCGAATGCGAGAGATCCTTAGACCGCCTCCGGCCAACCCTCTAAAAAACAAACCTTGCTTTAGCACTTAGCCTGTTTTTAACGCAACGTAAACTGGGTTGACCCTAGGCGCATCTTTCGATAGAAGCCGACAACTAGTCAAGGGAGCTCCAACCTAATTGTGTACTGCGATATTACTATGGCCTGATACCCTTGTATACTAGACTGACAAGGAAATATTCAACGCGATCGCAAGATACGTCAGGCATTCCCTTACTAGCTTCGAACGCACTGCTAGCGGGCCGGTCTCAGGTTTGAGTAGTAATTTCCCGTAACGCTATAGCGGACATCAGCAGTCGATCGACTGCTTCTTTGATACCAACGAACGCTGCTTGGAAAGCACTACAATAATCTAGAAGTCAAAATATAAGGTTGGTGGACGGGTCCCTGGAAAAAACGAATTTTATGCAAGAGTTCAGCAATAGGGGTACATTTACTTGTTATTTATTTTGAAAGCTTCAACGCGCTTTGCGTAGTTTGTCAAAGACTTCAAATCAATATCAAGAAATTTTTCCTTGCAAAAACAAACATGAATAGGTTCGGTATATTTTTATTTATTTATTTGTCCACTCAGATGGTGGTTGGACAGCACAGTTATAACCAAAGGCGGGTACGTATGTACACACATTTGTAATGCTTCCATAATTCCACGAAATACCGCTTTTACAGCTGCACCACCGCAACGCGCGTCATATGCTTCAAAACCCCTACGCTGAGCTTCAGCCCAGTGAGGGTGGTGGTGGTGGTGGTGGTAGCGGTTCCGAAACGGGTAAAGATGAATGCAAACCGAATGGAGTCACATCAGGCAATCCCAAACAGAAAGCCACCAACATAGCACAGAAAGCAGCCAAGGAGGCCAAGGCTGCATCCGATGCTCAACAGGCTGCCGGTGAAGCCGCCTCACAACAAGTGAAAGCACAGTTAGCCGAAAAAGCTATTGCCGCTGCAAAGGCAGCCGAAGCGGCGCTTGCTGGCAAACAACAAATCGTGCAACAACTGCAGCAGGAGGTGCGCGAAGCTGAGGCCGTAGTACAAGAGCAGAGTAGCTCCCTGCAGAATGCGCAACAAAATGTCAACGCAGCAATGCAAGCCGCACAAAACGCTGCACAGCAACTGAAGACGCTAACTAAGGCGGTCAGTATGGCTCAGGTGAATGTTGGCAATGCGGAACAGGCAGCTCAGGGAGCACAACAGGACTTAGCGGAGAAGACACAACTAATGGAGGCTGCGAAGAGTCGTGTGGAGCAGTTGCTGCGTCAATTGGGTTCGGCACGCGATGATTATGCGAAGACCAAAGAGGCAGCTATGAAAGCGGCTGCCGCAGCGCATGAAGCCAAACAGAATGCTAATCCGTCGGGTCGTTGTTCCCGTCAATCGCCAAGTGGTCGCATGATGGCAAATCGGCATCTACGAATGGCACAGCGACAGCGTCATTAGAGTACAGAAACATTTTGCATGTATTTCTATTTTTTGTGAATATACTTTTTGGTTTACCGCTTTGTGTTACTATATATCAGAATAGTTTTAAATATCGTATTTTTATATCCCAAACGGAATATATAGACACCTGACTGGAAGATCGACCTAGGCTAGGTAGGAGAGTGGAGCACTTGGACCCATTGGGTCCGTTGTGATCAGTGTTGCCTCGAACAAATTTTTCTTCCCACCAAAATGTCCTACCAAAACCAACCAAACCTACCTACCAAAAATTGCATCATAGTGTTATCGCTTCCCAGCAATTCCTTTCAGGAATTCTGACCTTATAGCGTTTGTAGAAGGATATCCTTGGTAGCATAATGTCCATGATCTTGATAACGAGATTATCCAGGAATGGCTTGAGAACCCCTAAATGACCCCGAGGAACTCCATTTTTCATGCTGATTACATTAGGCAGTCGTGGGGGGGGGGGCGTGTGTAACAACGGATTTTACTAACGTATTGAAAGAGCAGTACGTTGGTTTGGGTGATATTCCCTAAATCTTACCATGAACTCTCTGACAGGCATAAAATGCCCTTGTAGCCTTGAATTGAGCATTTGTCCAGAGTTACTCGTAGATATTTCTCCTATAGTGAGAACTCAATTTCTGTGCCTGCCAAGGTTGATATAATCAAGTTGACTTTTCTTCTTTCGGTAAATGGTAGACTTTAGTGGTTTTAAATGACAAGCCCTTTTCAGCACACAAGTCTTCGGTACAACTTTATAGTTCAGTTCGATTTAAATTAACTTGTAGGCACATACTTAAAGTATTTGTGGATGTTCATAATGTACATATATTGGCAATAATATAGGTATTTATTTGTCCTTACGAATGAGATATATTTACAAGTTTGTGGTCGCCGTTATACGAATACACCGGTGAAATATTTGTGTAATCAATGTTTGGAGACATGTACATATTTTCTATTTTTCGCATATGAATATTATTGTCGTGAAACCTACCAAAATCCAATCAAGCTTACCAACCTAATAAATT